GGGACTGTGTTCTCCCTTTCCCTGTGGGTGGTCCCTCTCCGGACCAGGCAGGATTTGTGCATTAGGCAACAGCTGTGGGTGGTTTGTGTGTGTGTGTGTGTGTGTGTGTGTGTGTGTGTTTTAAGTATATTTTTATTGATTTCAGAGAGCAAGGAAGAGGGAGAGAGAGAGATAGAAACATCAATGATGAGAGAGAATCATTGATCGGCTGCCTCTTGCAAGCCCCCCACTGGGGATCGAGCCCACAACCTGGGCATGTGTCCTTGACCAGAATCAAACCTGGGATCTTTCAGTTCGAAGGCCGAAGCTCTAACCACTGCGCAACCGGCCAGGGCAACAACTGTGGTTTTGAGGGCCCTAGGGAGCCCTTCTCTACTCCCTTTATACCTTCTTTTAAAATTCCGTCATCAGATAGGATTTCACTCATTTAACTTGCATTAATATTTAACCTCCCCTGAGAGAGGGAACATCTAGGTCTTATCACTCATTCACACCTTAGTGAGAAGTAGTTCACAGAATCCTTCCTGAGGATTATTATGGCCACCTTTTATTGAATGCTCTCCACTGATTCAAAAGCTTTTCATGCATTATCTCATTTAATTCTCACAATTCTGTCAGGTGGCAACTATTATTACCCCTGTTTTACAAATGGGAAAACTGAGGCTCAGGGTCTGCAAGCAGTGGGTTTTGACGGCGTGAAGGCTGTTTCCAGAGCCTACACTGCCTGTCACTCCACCGAAATGACCTCTAATACTCTTCAGTTTACAAATGTACTCAGTGTATTATATACGTCTTTTGGACCTCCCTACAACTCAGCAAGGTCGTTGGTATGATCGTCCACATTTTATAGAGGAGATCATTGAGGCTAAGTTTAGTCAATTGGTACGTGGCTCCAGGATTTAGACTCCTTACTCCCATCTGAGATCAGTGCTCCTGGACCCCACGCAGCATGCAGTGAGGAGCCTTGAGTCACCTCACTCTGGTGTCTTGGGGACAGAGGGAGAGTGTGGTGGGCATGGAAGCTAGGAGTTCCCAGAACAAATCTCCTTTCTCTCCCTTCTTCCTCTCTTCTTCCCTTCCTCCTCTTCTTTCTCTCCTTCCTCTACTTGTTCATTCAGCCACCTGAGCACCTACTAAGAATGGTGGCTGTGGGTAAGCAGTGGCCAAAACAAGAGTCCCTTGTGTCCTCACAGGACTGATAGTCTGACAAAATAACTAATAACAAAAGTTCCTTAAGTGTTTATGGTGAGGTGGGCGCTGTGCTGAGTGCTGAACGTGCCCCACCCTCATAGCCTCTCTTTCAGGTGGGGGACTGGGCCTCAGGAAGGGCTGCGTGCATCAGCTCCTTTAATATGATTCCAGTCTGACTCCAGAGTCCAAGCATCTCACCACAAGGCTGGACTGCCTCCCTCTTGGGGTGCAGTGGGGAACCAGTGGATGCTTATGGAGTAAAGAATACCCCCTACTCACACACACACACACACACACACAGTGTTGGCTCACCCAGCACCAGAGGCAGCCATCACAGTGTCTCCAAGGCCCTCCCTGCCACCAGGAACCCGGCCCCATCCCCAAAAGGAAGCTGAGTGGGGAAAGGCTATCTTCCAAGGCAGGCACAGGCTGGCACACTCCGAGACCTCTGGATGGAACTCCCAGCGACACTGAATCAGCGTGACCCGAGCAGAGGTCCCGTTCTGTCTCCCCAGGTGGCCTGTCAGCGTGACTTCCTTGTGCCTCGGTTACCTCTCCTCTAGGTTCATCTGCGCATCAGCTGCGTCTGAAACATTATCCATCAGACACTTTGTAGAGCCAGCTGGGTGCTTCCTCCTCCCCGCTTTCTGACCTGGTCCTTTTCCAGGCTCTCCATAGAGATTATGTTTCCCTCTTTGTAGATGTGGAAACAAGGCTCGAAGGCTGACCCACATAATGATGGTGAGAAATACAATGAGAGCCCACTGAGGTCTTGAGTCTACTGTCTCAACAAGTACCTACTGAACATTCCACTATATGCCAGAGTCTGCACCGTGCCCAGGAGATGTAACAGTGAGCAAGGGAGAGTCCTCCTCCCTTTAGGAGCACTAATTCCAGGAGGGGCGGACAGACAAGACAGGAAATGTTGGAAGTGTGGGCAGAATGAGGTGACCAGAGCTAATTTGGCAGGGCAGAGGACAAAGGTCTGCTCTGGGCTGTCTCAGCCCTGGCACTCCGGGGGACCCAGCAGAGCAAAGGTTTGGGGGCCGGGGAGTTGAAGTTGGGAAGATCGGGGGAAGGCTAATTGGGGTGCTAACCGGGAGAGGGCGTGGGAGCTGCCCTACCCCAAAAATACCCGGGCCAGGCTGACTCTGGCCTCTGCCGGCTGCCTCTCGGTCTGTGCTCTGCCTGCCTGGACTTTCCACGCCGACAGTTCCCTTGTCTTGGGTGCTTTCCAGCCCCACCTGCTTTCCTGGAGCCCGGTTCATCCCTCATTCCTGCCAGTCATGTGCCAGTGTCACTCTGAGTAACTCTAGGGACCCAGGGTGACCTCACCTGCTCCTGATTCAGTCTGACTCACTCTCCACATTTCTAGAAGGTGTCTCTCGGCCATTGTAATCCCATGTTCAGGCACCCAGGGCCTTTGGCACATCCCCCTCCAGACTCCTGATGGTTACCCAGGTCTGTGTAATGCAGGGGATGGTGGGGGGCGGGAGGGGGGGGGGCTGAGGCAGGAACCGTCATCCACCTCTACAGCTCACGCTGGAAATCTTTCCAGTGATCATGAACAGTCTCCAGCCTACATTTTTTGTTTGTTGGTTGGTTGGTTTTTCAGTCTACGTTTTTGTCCTTAACCGAAAAGGATATTATCTAGGAAGAATAGCTTGTGTTAATTGATTGTTTACTACGAACTGGGCACTCTACAGACGTTATCAGAGTCTCACAACATTTCGTTATTGGTTTTCATTTTCAAGATGAGGAAACTGAAGCTCAGAGAAGGACTTGACTTGTCTAAGGTCTGAAATCACACAGCAAGGAACTGGCGGAGCTGGGATCAGAACCCAGGCATTTGACTCCAGAGTTGTTTAACCAGAACCACACACCTGACCCCGCCAGCTGCCCACAGGTAGGGAAGGGAAGAGGGAGAGCATTCCACCCACCCAGGCTGAGCCTGCTTAGAGCCAGCCCCATGCACCCCCAGGATCCCTTGTGGTGTTGTGAGAGGGAATAGCAACCGTGAGAGGAGTCACCCAGGGATCTGAGGGCCACCACCACGTCCTTAGTGAAAGGACGCCCAGACCTACAGAACACCCATAGGAGGCACTCACTTGTGAGTGGGTCCAGCCTGTGCCGGCTGGTGGGAGTCATGGCTGGTCATCCCACCTCATTTTTATGTGGGCCCAGTCCTACCACCTCAGTTTTCCCCGCTTTCCCTTCCCACACCTGGTCTCCAGTCTGCTCTGGATCCCTCTTGCTGGACCGCTCCCACCCATCCTACCTCCTCAGCAGACGAACCCGTGCAGCCTAGCGCTGTGCTCTCCAATACAGTGGCCACTGACCACATGTGGCTGTTGAGCACTTGAAATGTAATGAATGCAACGGAGGAACTAAATTTTAAATCCTATTTAACTTTAATCAATTTACATTTAAGTTTTAAAATTGACAATGTTGTTATTGGAAAACATTTAAATATGTGTGGAACAACTTGGGTATGTAAATCATTTTTTCAACTGCAAATTTTATGAAATCTAAATATAGGTAATTCTCTAATGAAAACTTAGCAAGTGCTGTAAATGTAACAACTAGGCAGGCACCAGATTTTGAACACTTAGTAAAATAAAATGGAAAAGTATCTTAATATTTTTATATTGATTTCATGTTGAAATGATCATATTTTTAATATATAAGTTTAAACAAAATATATTATTAAAATTAATTTCACCTCCTTTTTTAAAATAAATTTTTATTGATTTTGAAGAGGAAGGGAGAGGGAGAGATAGAAACCCTAATGATGAGAGAGAATCACTGATTGGCTGCCTCCTGCACCTTCCACACTGGGGCTTGAACCTGCAACCCAGGCATGTGCCTTTGACCAGAATCGAACCCGGGCCCCTTCAGTCCTCAGGCCGACGCTCTATCCCCTGAGCTAAACTGGCTAGAGTCCATCTGCTTTTTTAAGAGAAAGTTTATTTAGCAAGTTACAGAGGTAGCCCTGGCTGGTGTTGCACAGTGGTTAAAGCATCAGCCCACGCACTGACAAGTCACGGGTTTGACTCCTGGTAAGGGCACGTACCTGGGTTGCAGGTTCAATTCCCGGCCCCAGTCAGGGCTCCTTCGGGAGGGGGGTGGGGGGAGGCAACCAATCAATGTATCTCTTTCATATCTCTCTCTCTTTCACCTCTCTCTCTTTCTCCCCCCCCTTCTACTCTCTCTAAAAAAAAAAAAAATCAACAGAAAAAATATCCTCGGGTGAGGATTAACAACAAAAGAAAGAAAATTACAGAGGTAGTAGAAGTGAGCCAGCTGGGCTGCATAGGCTCGGGAAACAAGTGACAGAAGCAAAAGAAGGGCCCTTGGAGCTTCAGAGAGGGAAAGACAAAGGTGACACACCTGGGGGAAGAAGAGGAGAAGCAGGCCCGCTCTGGAGAGGAAGCGTGCGCCTCACCTGTTTGCTTTAAGGTAGCTACTAGAACAATCTTCAGTTGCTTATGTGGTTCATTTTATATTTCTATCAGACAGTGGTAGCCTAGAGGTTAAAAGTGTGAGTTCAAATCCTGGTTCTGTGTGTCCTTGGGCAACTTAACCAATCCCTCTGGGCCTCCGTTCTTTAGCCTATTAGGGATAATAGTAGCATCTCCCCCATAGGGGAATAAATGAGATAATGTTTGTAAAGCACTTACCACAGTACCTGGCATATAATAGTGCTCAGGGAAAAAACATCATCATCATGGGCTTTCTTTCATCATAACACTCCAAGTGCAGTTCAATTAAACTCAATATTTATTGAGGGCTGCTGTGCGCTGGGCCCTGGGGATTGGATGGAGACAAGCCATTCTGCTCTCATGGAACTCCTATCACTAGGAGGGAGGCAGCCACTAAAAGAAACAGGGTAAGTGCAGGTGGTGGCAAGTGCTGGGGAGAAAACGAACATGGATAATTGCTAGAGGGTGGCTCACCGCTGCTTTAGCAGGAGTGGCCAGGGAAGGCTCCCCTGTGGAGCGGGGACTTTTGAGCTACACCTGACCAACCAGGTGAGGCTGTGAGGGAGGCATGTTCCCAGCAGAGGAAACAGCGAGTGCAGAAGCCGGAGCGCAAGCCGCTGCCTTGGCTGTCTGTATTGCTTCACCAAAGTTTCCACTTCTTGCACCCAGCTCTCTCCTGGCCACTACACCGTCCCGTGCTCATGGCAGCCTCTGTAAAGCTGGTCCGCATGACCTCCCTTCTTCTCGGTTCTGCCTGCTCCTGTCCGCCTTTGCAGGCCTCCTTCTCCACGGCCCCTCCAGCTCACGGCTCCTGTTCTAGGAAGTTTCCCCTGATGGGCTCTCTCTTGGGTTCTTCTAGGCTGAGTACTTTGTTCCTTCGTTTGATACCGTCCTGCCCCTCCCCTGCTCATCTTCCTGGGGCAGTTGTGCCTTCCCAACACACTTGCCCCCTTTCCTAGGGCAGGAACCAGAACCAAAGTCAGAGCCAGGTCTTACACTCAGCCCAGCACAGCGCTGAGCCGTTCACTAACTCCTATGGATCGCCAGGTCCCTTCTCTGAGAGACATGTCTGCCCAGACAGAATGGAAAATCCCTGGCTGAAGGAAGGGCCGTGGAAATTTCTTCTTAACGCTCCCTTCCCAGACCTGGACTCACCCCAGAAGGCAGGCAAGCATTTGCCCAGTGACCTGCAAGGCTGCGCTGTTCTTCCTCCTCCGCCCCCACCCCAGGCGGGAGCCCAGGGAGCTGTGCTGAGTGGGCGGGGCGGGGGAAAAGCCGTAGTGGCAGCGGATGTCTGCTGGCTCGGACTCCGAGAACCACTCTTGATGTCCTTTAGTCCCACACCTTCAGTTTAAAGATGAAGAAACACGGCTCAGTGGCAAAGAGGTACTAGACTGAAGGTGTTTCCACTCCCACTCCCACCTCCTCACATTGCTCCATGTACCTGGGTCCTCATTGTAAAACGGGAATAATAGTAATAGTACCTACTCATTGAACTGGTGGTATGTCAATGAGTTAAAGATGTAGAGTATTTTGTAGTTATGAGCTCTATATGCTCTCGAGTCCTGAGCTGGCCCTTCCTTGTAGCCCCATGGTGGAGCGTGCTGTTAGCATTCTGCTGATCTCTTGGGCGGAGGGAAGGGGCTTGAATGAGGGCTTGAGTCATCACCAGAGGCAGGCAAGTTCCAATGAGGCCTGTCTTGTCTAGAGATTGTATCCACAGCATTAGTCCTGCTGCTTTTTAAAATGTATGCAGATGCAATTACAATGAATAAAATACAAATTCACTTACCATTGCTACTGGAGTCACAGGTTTGTCATATATTAAGTCAATCAATGATAGCTAATGGAGGTTCAGAATGGGTTGGGGGCCACTGGGACCGGCGCCTCAATCCTTAGCCCTTCTCCCCTGGGAGGCCCGGGCTCCTCTCCTGTCCTCCAAGGTGTGGGGCTCAAACCAGCTCTACTACTGGCCCCAGGCTCAGTCTTCCCCCAGAGGGTCTCTGACAGGGGATCGGATTGCTGTGGGGGAGGTCCATGTGAGAGAATGAGGAGAGCAGCCCTCACATCTTTGGGGCTGAAGTTTCATCCTTCTTCCTCTTGGATCCTGTCCTCACTCTGCCACCCTCTCTCCTCCCACTTCCTAGAGCATGTGGAATACTGCAGATCCACAGCCCTCATCCAGCCCTTCACCACCTTGTAGGGATGGGTGCAGTGGGACTTGATTGCTGGGCAAATTTGACCTTGGATGAGACACGGAGTGGCATAAAAGTGCTTGGAATTTGTGCGTTGTATGGACTGTTACTCGGCCTTAAAAAGAAAGGAAATTCTGATAGTTGCTACAACATGGATGAGCCTTGAACGTGTTGTGCTAAGTCAAGTAAGCCAGGCACAATAAGGCAGATACTATATGATTCCAATTCCGTCAGGTACCTTGAGCAGTGAAATCCATAGAGACACGAAGGGAAATGGCGGTTGCCAGGGGCTGAGGGGAGGGGAATGGGGAATGGTTGTTTAATGAGTACAAAGTGTCAGTTTTACAAGATGAAGTTTTCGAGAAAGCTTCCACAACAATAAGAATATATTCAACACCAGTGACTGTCCTCTTAAAATGGTTAGTACGGTGGATTGTATGTTTTATGCTTTACCACAGTTTTTTAAAAAGTGTTTGGAAGTGGCCCCAATGGGCCTCTCCAGGTGATGGAAGATTTGAGATGTCATGGTCTTTCGATCCCTCCTTTCTTCTGCACGTGTGTATTAGCTTGTGGTTTTGTTGTTGTTGCTTTAGTCAGTTTTGTTGGGCTCCGACCGGAAGAAGACCATTAAGTCTTGAGGACCTCTGTGTATCTGTCAGTTTTCTTCGCCACCTTCTTTTTGGCCTGTTTCTGCAGCTTCATGAGCTGCCTTTTCTTCGGGTAATGGATTTTCGCTCTCCCCTTCCCCTTTTCCTCCAGCGTGGCTGTGACTGCCTGGAACTTCCGGCCAGCCTCCTGAGCCAGGCGTCCAGGTAAGCCAACCTCCGTGTAGGCGGCCAACCTGGGTGTAGGCTTCCAACACACAGCCTTGAGAGCTGCAGGAACCACTTCTCTTTCATGTCATAGGCCAGCGGGATCCCATCAAACACCTTGCGGTGGTCCCAGGGGTCTGGTCTGCTTGGCCTCACAATGTCCGCGAAAGATGCATTGGGGGTGGGGGGCAAGGAAGTGGTAAGAGCCGAGGGAGGGGTTGGTGTTCATCCACTTGCAGAGGAAGGCCAGGGACTTCATTTTGTTTCTGTAGAAATTGCCAGAAATGTTGATACCCTCACAGTGCACGTCCCCCCGCTTCCGGCCCAGCAGCACCTGCTTGGCCACGATGGCCGCCAGGCGGCCCAGGAGATGCCTTCGCCATTCAGTACCAGGACGTGGCCCTCCGCCGCCTTCAGCAACTGCCTGGGCTCATTAGTAGTTTCAATAGGCCGGGCTCTGTTCTAGACACAAAAAATGTGGGCTGACATTCTATTGGCAGAGACAGACAATACATAAATTTGATCCAAAATACTCATGGCTTTTCTTTTGTTTTCCTTTTCTTAGTGAAAAATCTACCATTTGTATTTACATGTGGTTTATAAATTACCATATTTAATTGTGGAGCTGGAATTTATTTTTAAAACTTCTGGAGCTCCCCCGGCCAGCGTGGCTCAGTGATTGAACATAGACCTATGGACTAGTAGGTCTCAGTAGGTCCCGGCTGGATCCCCAGTAGGGAGTGTGCAGGAGGCAGCAGACCAATGATTCTCTCTCATCATTGATGTTTCTCTCTCTCTTTCCCTCTCCCTTCATCTCTGAAATCAATTTAAAAATATTTCTTTTAAGAGAGAGAGAGAGAAAAAAACTTCTGGAGCTCATTTT